AGTTGATTACTTAATTGACGATTTGGCTGTAATGGAACAAGATATCCGTAAAATTGGTAGATTGTATTTAAAATGTAAAGAATACAAAAACGAGAAGGCTCTATCTGATTGTTTTTCTACAGTTGCAGATGCAATGAATGATGCAACACGTGATTTTAGGTGGAGCATTGATCCTACAATATCTAAAATAAGTCGCATAAAATATGGAACCATGTTTCTTACGTTAGCAGTATTTGATGCACACATTTCACTTGTTGCAATTAAATCTCCGTTTGAGAAAAAATATGAATTAAAAAAACAATTAAGTTTTCTTTTTGAAAGATTTTATTCAATAATGTATGATTTTGAAAAAGCCTTAAACGTATGGAGATTGAACCAAATTAGTCCCGTTAAGATTTGCGAAGTTCATATAATTATGTGGAAAGAATTTGAAGGTACGTGTGAAACAAGATGGCGTAGAGCTATTGATGAAATAGGAAACGAAACTGTGGATGGAATAAATTCAGCTTATGACGTTGAAAGTTTGATAGATGAAAAAGTTGAGAAAATTGGGAGCAACCTCTTACAAAAGAAAAAATACCAAGCGTCTGTTTATGACTTTGTTAACGACCATCAAGTGTTTCTAGAAGATATTATACTTGATCCAGGAAGTAGAGGTATTGGAATTCACAACCTTTTTCAAAAAGCAAAAGATATCCGATGGAAGTACATTGATAGCATTAAAAACAACATATCAAGGTTCAATGAAGGCATTGTTCGCGCAGTTCGGAGTATGCTCAATTCAATCATTTTTACCTTAAAAGAAAAAACATAAAAAAAAATTACTTTAATAATTGTTGAAGTGTGTAAATTATATGAGAATATATAAGATAAATACATCTGCATTAGGGTCATGACAAAAAAATATTTTTTAAGCCTGTCGTTGGAATCAATAAACATTTTAATAATGATTTAAAAAAATCGCAATTATGTTGTTCAATTTAAAACAAAGTTCCCCCATCAAAACCCCTGACGACATGGTGGCGCCATAAATTACCGACGACATGGTGCTGCCATAAATTATCGACGACATGGTGCCGCCATAAATTACCGACAACATGGTGGCACCATAAATTACCGACGACATGGTGGCGCCATAAATTATCGACGACATGGCACCGCCATAAATTACCGACGACATGGTGGCGCCAAAAATTACCGACGACATGGTGGCGCCATAAATGTTTCTCTCTAAAACTATATTAAGTTGAATCTCAAAGAAAAATTTTTTAGAAAGTTCAAAAAAAAAAAAAATTTAAATAACATTCAGTTTTTTAAAATTTCTTGTTAAAAAAATAACATATTCAAACAAAAATTGAAAAAAAAACGCAATTAAAACATTCTGGTTTGCAATACCTTTTTTAAGAAGGTTATATTTGAAAAAAATTGATATTTATGAAACCTCTAAAATTTTACTTCTTTTGAGGTCCAACATAGCTAAGGAAGAAAAATATTTTTGGTAAAATAAGACATCTATCATGTCATTGGGTGACTTAGTGCAGGATTTTTTTTTCCAGAACTTGCTCTAGTAATAATTTTTAAATAACTAGGTTACAAAGATTCATTATATGCCATCACAGATACAAAATTTTTCAAAAAAACTTTTTTGTCATAACCCTAACCCAATAGGTATGGACGTAAAAAAAAGACATCTTTTAAACGTCTTAAACACGTTTTAAACGTCTTTTGAACGTCTTTTGAACGTTTTGCACGTCTTTCGAACGTTCAAAAGACGTCTTTTTTAGGTCCGGTGCCTACTGGGCAATATCATAATAAGTCATAGCACTCTTTTTTGTGCTTATTTTATTTTAAATAGAATTTGAGCGTAACGGTATGTAAAAAACGCGGAAAACCTACAGAAGACTAAACTTTCTTCTCATTTTTTTTTTTTTTTTTTACATTTCTTCAACATTTATAAAATTACAAGTTAAGATTTAATTATATAAACGATTACAAGTGAGGTTTTTTGCTATAAATATATATATATATATATATATATATATATATATATATATATATATATATATATATATATATATATAAAGAATGCGGAGACTCATAGAAGACCTTAAGGTTTTGTCGTCAAGAACTGCTGCAAACTCGTTACAAATTTACGTTGTAAATATTTTAAAATAAATTAAAAAAACTGTGTTTAACAATATTAGAAAAAAAATATAATTTAAATAAGAATAGAAATTTACAAACAAATTTCCTATTAAAAGTATAAAAGTATATTATCAATAGACAAAATGATTTTCTTAAGTTTCCTTTTATATGAGGTATAAGTCCATTCATGAAAAAAGTCAAAATATTTCAAAACTATTTTATTCCAAAGAAAGGCTCCTCGGAAAGAAACACAAGGTTTACTAAAATTTGTATGCGAAAATTGAAATCGAATAAAATTATCATTTCGTAGATTGTACCTGTTTTTTTCTTTTATTAAGTATAGGTTATGAAAGGAAGATATGGAATCGTTGGTTTTACATTCGTACATAAAACATAAACAATTATAAACGTTAAGCTGATATATATTTAAAATATTTATTTTAAGTAAGAGAGGCCTGGCATGAGTAAAACGGTCTTTAAAGTTTATAAGACGTGCAATTTGTTTCTGTTGACGATGAAGAGGCTCTTGTGTATTTTTGTTCACACTACCCCAACCAATATTAGCATATTTAATATGGCAGTGAATAAAGGAATAATATAATTGAATTAAAGTAATATAATATTCCTATAGTTCTAGTAATTTTGTTATTTAGATTGTTAACATGATTTTTCCATTTAAGATTTTCATCAATATAAATGCCAAAAAATTTTGTAATTTTTGTTCGCTTTATTTCAATATTGTCAACAAAAATAAGTAACAAACACAATTGTCATTAAGTTTGAGGCTTTGTATAATTGATGTATATTAGAAATAGTAATTGCCTAGTATTGAGCCTTGTCGCACTCCACAAGTAAATAAATTTGATGATAATGACAAGTCTATTTGAATAAACTGTTTACGATTAGTTCTTCAGTAATAATAAAGTCTTTCCAGTGATTCCATAATGTTCTAGTTTGTTAAAAAGAATTTCATGATCTATAGTATCGAAAGCTTTTGATAGATCTATGAAAATACCTAATGTGTATTGCGATGTTTCAAATGAATAGGCAATATTTCTTGTTAGTTGAAGTATTGCATGTTCTGCAGAATTATTTTTTTTAAATCCATATTGGTTATTATATATTATTTTGTTTTCTAATAAGTGGTTAAAAATTTTATTATATAATATTCTTTCTAGAATTTTTGAAAAAATTGGTATTGGGCGATAATGACTGAGGTTAGTAGGTTCCCCTCCTTTGAAAATTGGAGTAACTCTAGCTATTTTGAGTTGGTCAGTAAATACTGCTTGGTTTATTGAGCATGCAAAGACCCTAGAGAGAATATTTTTAATTATGTCATGTGAACCAATAACAATATTTCCGTTTACATCGTCTGGACCAATTACTTTATTAAACTTAAGCATTTTGAAAGCAATCTCAAATTCATCAAAAAATAATTTAAATTTATTTAGAGAAGATATTTCAGGAGAAATCAAATCTTTTTTTGAATTGATTGAATTATTAATTATAGGGATGTTTTTGGCTAAATTATAGGGATGTTTTTTGGCTAAACTGACAAGGAACTTGTTTACTTCGTTTGCTATTATGTTAGGGTTATAAAAAATTTCAGTATTTATTTTAATTGCCTTCGGCAAAGAGCATATTTTCATTTTATTGTTACAAGTGATTTCATTAACAAGTTGCCATTTTCGCTTAAAGTCGTTTTTGTATTTATCAAATAATTTGCTGTAATAATTTCTTTTAAGGTTTTTTTTTGATTTTCAAATAGTTTGGTAAAGGTTTTTTTTGTTTTATTGTTTTTGTTTTAAGGCATTTAATATATAGTTTTTGTTTTATTTTTGAGGATTTTCTAAGATCTTTTGTTACCCATGGTGATTTTAAACTTTTTTTTGTTTTATTAACTTTCATAATAGTCTTAAAACTATTACATTACAAATAGTTTTCAGAACAAGCATATTTTTTCGCTGGTGATTTAAACTTGGATTCGATGTGTTACAAAACTTTATTATTAACAACGCAGCCGTGGCGCAGTTGTTAGAGCGTTTGCTTTATAAGTAGGAGATCCAGGTTCAAAACGAACGAAATTTCGTCAATAAATTTTTTTTTTTTTTTTTTAATTGTTATTTAGGTGCCCCAAGAAGACCTAACGGTCTTGTCACAGAGCACCGTGGAGTGCATTTAACCAGGAGGTTCACGCCTCCTTTATTAACGTGACGCGTAAATATGTCCAAGGCTCGTTTCGAACCTGGATCTCCCGCTTCTTAAGCAAGCGCTCTAACCACTGCGCCACGACCGCACAATCATTTTACAATGTTTTTTGTAAAAATTAAAAATTAAATCTTTATATTCTGACAGGAACAAGTAGAAGACAATGCGCCTTATCACCCTGTTCCTAAGTTCGTGGAAATATCAATAAAGTTTTACGTATTAAGTTTCTAAAATATACGTTATATAAGTTTTATACATATTACAAGTTTTGTTTATACTATAACATATTACAGTTCATAAAATATACATAAGTTATAAGATGCATATATACGTGTTAACAAAACGATATATAAATGTTTTTAAAAATACCAAAGAATGTTTTTATTATTTAAATCTAAATAGTATCGTTTAACTGCTCTTTTAAATAGTTCAATTGAAGTCGTGTTTTTTATGTCTCTATTAAGGAAATAGTTCCACAAACGTGGTCTTCGACATGTAATTGAGAAGTCTGTTTTTCTAAGGGAACATCCCTAGGGATGTAGGAATGAGAAAGTTGCCAATGGAATGTCTTGTAGAGTATTTGTGATTAATTAAGTTAAAATGAGGTTGAAAATATGTTGGAAGCATGTTGTTATGAATTTTAAACATAGATAACAGATTTTGATAGATGTTTAGTTTATAAATATTAAACACATTAATGATCCCAAGAGCTTTTGAAATGCTGTTTACCACTAATTGGATATGATTTCAGTTTAAATGATCCTCAAATATTATACCTAGGAATTTCAGTAAATGAACTCTTTTTACTTTAATGTTGTTTATGTTGTTCGACACATTTAAAAGCCATTTTTTTGTTGTTGTCGTTTTCTTTTACTTATATACAAAGTTGACGTTTACAAAAAAAAAATGTTCGCTTTATATAGCATAAAATACAACTTGTGACTTTTGTCGACAGTTAATAAAAAAACGTTATAATATTAGAAAATCACACATTGTGACTTTTGTCAATAATTAGCACGCTAACTATTAATGACACACAACATCCCCCTTAGCTCAACAAGAGCTCATACGTAATCGTTGTACTTCCGATTAGGAAGTACTCTCCTCCCATAGCGAGTGAATTGAACAGGCTGTGACTCTGTCTCACCATCTGTTGAATAGTTTTGATCGCTGCCCGTACTATTGTCATTTTTACCATTATGCGGAGGAATTATTTGAAGATTTGGATCATCATTGACAATGTGTTTTGAGCTCTTTTCGGGAAGTTTAAATAGTGTTGATTCGATTTTATCGATTCCAGGAATTCGAACTCGTTTGTGATGTTGGCAAAATATTTCAAAAGGTGTGCCGTGTTTTGATAGAACGTTATTGATTAAAAATACAGACATTACAATACCACATTTTACTCTTGCATTTGTTCTTTTTACCGTCCGATGAACTCTTTCAACTATTCCATTTCCCGATGGTTTTTTAACAGCTCGATAGATGAGCCTTATTTCCCATTTTGCAGCCATAGTTTGCATAAGCTGAG